CGCTCCGCGCGTGCCGGCGCCGCCTCATAGCGAAGATGCTTCGCTCAGCCGTCAGATGGAGCCGCGCAGCGCCGCTGCAGTGCCAATCGTGTACCCGCCGACACTCAGCAACGCCTCCTTCGAGGAACGGTCGTACTTTACGGCCGTCCGGGCCGACGGAAAACCGGCTGCTGAGCTGTACGGCGGCGAGAAATTGCCAGCTGGCACAGCACAGCAGGGCGGGCACGCACCATCTCTGACTTTCTCGAGCTCCGATACATTGAGCTACGACAAGCCCAACGCCGTAGACGACATATACGACCAGCGCGCGCGCGTGCCGAAGCTTTCTGAGTTCAGCGGCCACTTCGCCTGAGCCGAGTGATTACAGCCGCACCACTGGCAGCCGCACGACGGGCAAGTGCTTCGCGTAGTCTTGCCGCGACCGCATAAAGTAGTTTTGAGTCACGCTCGGATGCAGCCGCGCAATGCCGAACGTGTTGCCGCCGCTTGCGCGGCCCGCGAAGATCTGCTGCAACTGCTCTTTAACGGACGCATCAATGACGTGCGGAGCAGTCTGCAGCAGTTCTCCGTCGAGTTGTGGCGCGTCCACTAGCGCGCTAGCGTTTATGAGGTCGATCACCGTATTCGGCCGCCGAACTTTTCTGAGGTGCTTTTTCCAACTCTCGGCCTCAACTTCGCCGTCTTCAAACAGTCCCGCGTGTGCGGCGTCCCCCGCCGCTTCAGCCGCATCGACGCGTGCTTCTGCACCGTTCCACAGACCATCGTGCTGCTCCTCGACGTTGGTGGCAGAGAGCTCGGCCTCGGTCGGCAGCAACTCAAAAAGCTCTTCAACTTCGCGAAAGTCAGCGCTCAGCGTAGGCGTGGCGGCTCCAGCATGGCCGAGACCGACTAGCAGTACAGCAGCGAACTTTCGCATCGTCAAGATTCACTGCAATAATAATCACACACAGAAAACTGACGCCGAACGTTGCTTGAGGAAAACGCCGAACTCCGCGTCTACAGGAAAAACCCCATGTCGAGCTGAGTCGCTGCTACGTCGTCGGACAGCGTGTCGATGCGCACAATCGCCTCTACGCCCTGCGAGTTTTGGCAAATCACTTCGAACGCTGGCGCGGCGGTCAGCACGCTTGGTACGGTCAGTTTCGCGACGCCTTCAAGCGCTAGCTTCTTGACGAACCGCAGCTGACCTGCATCGATTGCAAAGTGGAAGACTTCGAAGCCGTTTGCGGTCGCGCTATACGCAAACGCGTTAGCGCCGCAAACGCTCAGCAACAGCGGCTGAGGCTCGGAGTTTGCTTCAGCGCTCGACGTGTGCAGGCGACGTATGTGCAGCGCATCTACACCCGCTTTTGCATCGAGGTGCTTCGCAGACCAGAGCCGCGCACAAGAACGACGTCCGCTGAAAAAGTGCGCACATACGAAGTGCGCGCCACTGCGCTCAATGGCATAGAGCATGTAGTCGTTCGCAATCAGCCCGAATGGCAGAGAGAGCTGGCAGCACAGACAAAACACGCGCGGCGGCCCGCCCTGTTCTGGCAGCGCATCGCGCGCCTCAACGCGCACGCAACCGCATTGTGGATCGCCATCGAACCCAACGTTCAGGCCGCGCGCAAAGCCCGCGTATGCATCGTGCAGACAAGCCCGCTGGTCGGCGTCACTCGCGGAGAGCGTGTAGAGCAAAACGTCTGCGTCCGAGAGAAGCTGCAACTCGGTGAGCGCTTCACCAAGCGCCGCGCCGGCCGCTCCGCCTGCTCCGGCACCGGGCGATGCGAAAAACAGCGACTGCGCCGAACTGCGAACGCCTGCGTGGTGCAGCTGCACGAAGTCACGCGCTACAGTGGCGCCAAGCTTTGGCAACTGGTCGCAGCCAAGCGTTTCGCCGCCGTGGTAATAGTTACTATACGCCAACGCTGACTCCTCCACTGCCGCGTGCTCCTGCAGCACGCCGAAAATCAGCAGCAGGCCGAGCACTAAGATCAAAGAGCGCGCAGGGAATTCCAGCATGATCAGTCGTTTTTAAGCGTCATGTCGGTTTGCTGGTCAAATCGGAAAAGTGGACACCGGAATTAGTTACATTTCTTAATTATTCGCTTCAAAAAAAATGAAGCTTTGAGTATTGGCACGAATGAACACGCCAGCGTTGAGCACTAGTTTTTCTCGCGCGAAACGTTACCGGATTCGCGCTTCTTTGCAGAATCGTGCGCAACTCTCGTCGTGGCACACCAGCTTCGAGCCGACACTTGCGGGCGCTATCATCTACGTCCTGTTGCTCACCTACGTCGACAAGTCTTACGGCAGTATCATCACGGCGCCGGACTCCGCGTATTTGCAGCAGCGCAAAATCTCGGCCTACACGCTGCGCGTGCTCCTCTACTCCAAGCTACTGCTTAAGATCCTAATCACCGCTTCTTCCGTCACCCTGCTTTCGAATTCGGCGCAACCAGATTTCATTTTTTGCTCTGCGTTGGTCGCGCTGCACTGCATCTCGATGGCAACTTATTGGTTCTACCCTGCGAGTCCGCTGCTGAACTTCACCCTTGTGTTCTTTTCGATTACGCTGCCGGTCTTCTTTCTGCGGCAGTTGCTGCTCCGCTCGCGTCCTCAGTGCGAGTCTGCCGAAAGCTTTACCAGCTTCGAAGACTTGTTGGAGGCCTCGAACTCACTCAATCAGCGCCTCATCAACTCTCTGCTCGCCGCCGGCAGGTTTGTCACGCGCCGCGTAGAAGCTTTAGGAGCCGCCGTGAGCAGTCTCAGTGAAGAAAGAACGAACCGCCTCGCGCAGCAACACGCCGCAGCGTCGTGGAGCGATTCCGCGTCAACGCACTCTGCCAAACCCGACGCAGTAGACTCGCCCGCTGAAGTTTCTCTCAAGCCAATGTCGGCTTCCACTTCGACCGATGTCTTTACGACCAACGTCTCGCAAACTAATGATTTCGGCCAGCAGATGCGAGACTGCAACAGGCATGAAGGCTGCTTGGATTTTCAGATGAAGCGCAGACCAAGCGAAATTGTGGTGCAGCAAGCGCTGGACTCGCTTACTACATTCCTGGAACTGCATAACATTTCGGAGAACGACTTCTCGGCCTTGTTCCGTATGCAAAACCGTTCATTGGGGGCAAAACCCGAAACCGACTTGCCTTGCAGCGAGCTTTCCATTCAGGAAGACCCCGTGCTAGCGCAACTGGAAAAAGTTCCCTACTCGCCGCAAACTTTCGACTACGACTTCCGCTACTTTCCGCTCTCGAGGAGCTGCTGTGCTCCCGCCGAAGCCGTCTACGGGCTGTTCACAGACCTGCTCGCGCGGCTCAGCGCGAAACGTGCCTCCATTTACCGCGAGCTAATTGGCGTCTACTTTAACGCTTTGCCGCACCTGTCGTACCACAACGAACTACTTGCGCTCGTGATGCTGCACCAGTTTACCCATATGTTCCGCAACTCGAGGATCGTTTACTACCGTTGGAACGTCGCGGACGTGGAAGCGTGTGCCCGGCTCGCCGTTCTCTCGCGCTTCGCTTTCTTTAGAATCGATAAGTGTCTTTTAATGCTGGAAGAGGATGAAAGCTCTGACAAGTCTAGCCAGGTATTGGGTACGCAAGCGCACAAAACGCACGATGCTGTATGCAAGCACTTCCCGACTAGTCTTGCGCATGAGCCGATTTGCGGCGTTCCCGCGGACATCAGCAGAATAGACGACACTTTTATTGCTTTCATCCATGCGGCGAACTCCGAGTTGAAGTACTTCGCGCATTCAGTTCCGAACTTCCGCTCCGCGGCTGAGGTCGAGGAGCTTTCCGAGTACATTGATATGGTCAAACCTTTCCTGCAGTTCTCGAACGCCTCAATCTATCTCTTGCCATGGGAGCAGCACTTCTACTTCTGCTGCAACCTCGCGCTGGAGAATCACTTGTCTGCACATCCAAACTCTTTGGCCCCCGAGTTGAGTAACGTGCGCCACACGAAGCTAGTAGACCGCAGGTTTATTTTTGAACGCCTCAACGACATTAACAAACTCGTTTTACCGAGCCTCTTGGCGCTCGAGCCTTTCCTCAAAAGACCATACTACGATATTGTCTTAGATCGCGTAAAGAAAAACAAGGAGAAGTGGGAGCAACTGCTGAAGTAGTAGAGAGCGCTGCGGGAACGCGCGCTCTGCTGCGGACGACCTATGCGGACTACGCGCAAAGCGCGCCGCGCATTCGTCCAGACGCATTTTTAGTAAACTACACTCAATGAACAGTAATAGCACGCGAGTATCGCGGCCTGTGACTGCCGTTTCTCGCTCAGCAGCGCTGCCTGTCACATTCGTCAGGTATTAAACTGCATTGGAGCAAAACCAGTTCGATGAACTTAAAGTTTTATTTCGCTTTACCGCTAAAAAAAACTTATTCCGCAGGCATAAGTTTGTGCAAATCTACCTACTGTAGGCGCAAAATTAAATTATCGCGAGTGCCTTATTTGCTGAGCAGCCTGCTTGTAAATACATTAAGCAACGGCGCTAGTTTTCAGCTGCAAACCGGGCTGAGCCGCTCTCGCGAGATCTCTGGACGCTAGACAATTTGTGAGTAATTACACACTGACTGTTTACGTTCCCTCTACAAAGTAGGCTGCGCCGCTCCGTGAAGTGCCACTGTTTCGACGCAGCAGCGTCGCATCGCGAGCAGAGTGGCTCGACTTGACGCGCCGAACTCTGTTAAAGCACCATAGCTCAGTGGTAGAGTATTGGGCCCATGTCCCAAAGGTCCTTCGTTCGAAACGAAGTGGTGCTATTTTTGAACATCTTGCTATTTGCGAGCTGGTTGTGCTGTTTCGTATTTTTGACTCTAGACGCTGCGAATGCGAGAGAAGCGCTCCGCTGCACCGGCCTGCGCTGGAGATATGCAAGTCTTTCGGAAGGCGCGCGAAGTCTGCGCTGCGGTCGACGCATTCCCCGTGACGGTCGTCGCCGGCGACACGGGCTGCGGTAAGTCTTGTGGCATTCCGCATATTCTGCTGCGCCACAGCGCCGTGCGCAACGCGCGTATTGTCTGCACGCAGCCGCGTAGGATCGCCGCAGTCGGACTCGCGAGGTTTGTGGGGCAGCGCGTTGCAGCCGACTCGCAACTCTCGCTGCGCGCCAAGCGCGGAGCCTCCTGCGCAGGCGCCGCTGCGAAGCTGGTGGGTCATTCTATCCGTTTCGAGAGCACCGCGACGCGCGACACGCGGCTGCTGTACGCTACGGACGGCGTGTTGCTCAAGCAGTTTATGGAGAACCTCGGCGACGACGGCGAGTTGCAGCGCTTGCCGTACGACTACATCATTATTGATGAGGCGCACGAGCGTTCCGTGCGCATCGACTTGCTGCTGCAGCTGCTGAAACGGTATTTTTGTCGGCACCGCGCGACTTCGGTCCGACTGCTGGTCATGAGCGCCACAATAAATCCTGGCTTCTTTTTAGATTACTTCCGCGGCAAAGACGCGGAGCACAGCATCCGCGCCACCTTTCTAGAACTACGAGCAACCAACTTCTCGCGTGACGTGCGCTTTCTTGACTTGCCCGCGGAGGACCTTGCGGAAGCGAGCGTGCAACACGTGTTCCTTGGGTTGCACGTCTACGCGGACGGCCACGTGCTCGTCTTTAATAGCGGGCTCGACGCCATTCGTGACGTGCAACGGCGGTTGTACGCTGCGCTCGAGGCGGTCAGCGCGTTTGCCGCGCTGCTCGCGCAGCTCGAAGCCGTCGAGACGCAGCTGCAAGAGGATGAACGTCGGAAGCGCGAGTTCAACAAGCTCGCCTCCCCGGCGCTGCGGCTAACCTTTCTCACGACGGAGCTCGGGCTGTACGCGGATCAATACTCTGAAGCGTTCGCCGCGTGCCTTTGCGAGCCGCTCGCGTACGTCATCGGCCAGAACTGCCCCGTGCTGCAGCTGATCGCGGATCGTTTTGAGACCCGCGGCGCGCTTCTCGCGTTCTTGCGCGCGCTGCAGGTCAAAGTGCTGTGTCTCTACGGTTCGCAGCAGCAGGAAGAGCAGAACGTGATCTACGCCGCGCCGGAGAGCGACAGCGAGCGCCGCGTGGTTCTCGCTACGAATATCGCCGAGACTTCTGTAACGGTGCCTGGAGTGCGTTGCGTGATCGACTCCGGCCGCGCAAAACAGAAGATGTTTCACGCGCTCAAAGAAGTCGACATTTCACAGGCCGCAGCCGAGCAGCGCGCCGGTCGCGCAGGCCGAACCGCGCCCGGCACCGTCTTCCGGCTTTACACGGCGGAGAGCTTCGCAGCATTCGAGCCGTTTGCAAAGCCGGAGATTTTGCGCACCGACGCCTCTGAAGTTATGCTGCAGCTGTTCGGCAGTGTGCCGCCCGCGGCGCGCGCGGCACACCTCGCTGCGCAGCGCGCGCGCACGCTGCCTGAGCTCTTTGCGCAGCTCGACTTGCCCAAGCCGCTCGAGCGCGCTGCGCTCGATGCCGCCCGCGCGCAACTGCTGCAGCGCGAGCTGCTTGAAAGCGGCTCGGCCGGCGACGCGCTCACGCTACGCGGCGAAATGTGCGTGGCACTCTCCGTTGAGCACTGCTTCGGCAGTTTCGTGGCGACCGCGCTGCTCGCGCACGTCGAGGTGCTCTCGGAAACGCTCGCGATTGCCGCGATGTGCGCGCTGAACAAGATCTGGTTCGAGCCCACCGAAAGCGCGCGCGCCACGCGCGCGCGGCAGTTGATCACATCGCGTCTCGGCGACCATCTCACGCTGCTCAACCTGTTCATGGCGTTTAAAAGCGCCGCAGACCCCAAGGCGTTTGCGCGCATGCTGGAGGTCAAGCTCAGCTACCTTGAGGAAGCCGCGCTGCTCTATGAGCAACTCTCCCGAGAGTTGCGTGAACGACCGCTGCTGAGCGCGCGCCTACCGCGCGGCGAGTTCATTCCCAGCTTCTACCACAAGGTGCGGCTACGGCAGGCCAGCAAGGCCGACTGCGAAAAAGCCGTGTTGCGCTGTCTGTACGCCTCACGCGCACTCCATTCCGCGGCGCTCGCGGAACGCACTGTCGCGGCGCGCAAGCAGCGCGTCTACGTCAGCAGCAGCTACGCGGAGCCACTGGTGCTGCACCCCACAACCTTTGTCTACGCGCTAAATCTGGCGAAGCCAGAAAACATTCTTTTCTCCGGAGTGATCGAGACCAGCGCAGCGTTCGCCTGCGTCGTCACCCCGCTCGTCGAGCTGTAGCCAATTTAGCTAGCGAGAATCTCGGCGTATTTATTTATTTCGTGAATGGCCGTCGACTCAGAAGCTGTCGCTCGCGCCGAAGGTTGAAGCCAGTATGGAGGAGGCAAGCGACTCTCCGGAGCAGCTCAGCCAAGCTATGTTGCGCAGCTTCGGCGACGCGATTCGCGCTGCGGCCGACCACATCAACAAGCTGCGCACTTCGGCTTCGCTGATGCGCGCGCACCGCGTGCGCGACTCTGAACGCAGCGAATTGCAGCTACTCTCCAACGACGCGCAGGCGGCCGTCCGCAAAATGATCGACATCGACTGCTCGCTCAAGCAGTTCGAGGCGCGCAACCCGACTATCAGCGCGCGCGCGCGACTCAGCTACCGCAAGCTGTTCGCAGAGATGCGCGTGCTCATTAGCCAGCTGAACGACGTCAACGCGGACGTCGTACTGCTGCTCAACGCGCGCCGCTGCGCGCCTTCCGTGTCCGCCGCGAGCTCGCCTGCGAGCGTCGAGCGCAGCGGCCGTGGGTCGGCCACGCGCGGGCCGAGCACCGTCTGCGTCGAGCTCGACGACTCCGAGACCGTGCGCAACGTGCACCGCTCCATCAAGTCCGTAAGTCTCCGCACAGCGCACGCAGACTAGCAGTATGGCCGAAGAACTCAGCCGCCTGATTAGCCAGCACGACGGCCACATCGACAAGATCGAGTCCGACTCGCTCCAAAACCGAATTGTCACCTTGTAAGTTCTCGCGCGCGCCACGTAGCAACGCCGTCCGCGAACTGCGCACTGCCTACTCGCGCAAATACTCCAAGCTGCGCCGCTTCGCGATCGTGCTCGTCCTGCTGTTCTGTCTGCTCTTCTACGCCTCGTACTCGAGGCCGCGGCCCGTGCTCGTGACGGACATGCCGCAGCAGGGCAACCCCGCCAGCAATCCGTGATGCAGCTAGATGCACAAACTTTGTTATGGTATTGAGCTACAAATTGCGCGAACGGTTGCATACGCGCAACTAATGCTCGCTCTCGTGCTGGAGACCGTAAGCGTTCTGCGACCGGCCTGCCGTCCCATTTGGTAGGCTGTTTGCCATGCCGCTCGGCATACCACTCGGCATACCACTCGGCAGCCCGTTCGGCAGCCCGTTCGGCAGCCCGTTCGGCATGCCGTTCGCTTCCGACAGACTCAGGTCGAACTCTCCCAGAACTTCTTGTTGGCCCGACCGCAAACCTGCGTCGGGGTCATTGTACTCATTGTTCGTCATTGTCTTGTAGCTACTCGCGTAGTCCGCGGGCCAGTATGTGTAGGGCGCGTTGTAGTGCGAGCTTTGCAGCGCCTTTCCACCGTACTTGTACGGCGTTTCGACTGCGCTTAGGCAGTTGTAGTTGGGATTTACCATGTAACCCTTCCAGCCGTAGTACAGATCTTCTGCTTTGTCTGATTCGTTTGCGATAGGCACCGCTCGACGACGGTGCGGGCGAGAGTTCAGCGACTTTTCGGAGTAGCTGCCCGAAATGCTGTTTAGGTCGGAGTAAGAGTCCAGCGCTTCGTACGAATTGCGCTGGTTCGATCCGCTCTGCGATTGCTTGCAAGACACCTCCATTAGCTTCGCGAGACGGTACTGAATAGCCATCCGGCGCGCCTCTTCGAAGCCGTAGTCTTCCACGCTAAAGTTCTTTGTCTTGCGCTTGCCTTGTCCGTGCTCGCGCCAGTTCGCACGCCAGATGCGACGTTGTTTGTCAAAGTAAACGCCTACCACGCGCCCTTCAGGCACAATGTTTTGCTGCAGCATTTGCATTCGCAATGACTTGCTCGACGTTTTCATGTACCCAGAGTTTCTTGGGTTGTTGTGCGATGACCACCTGCTTCATTTTTGCCAAAACGTACCGATCGTTCCAGGAGTTTAAGATTGCGTCGTTCTGGTCCACGACGTTCGGGTACGGCTGAAACACGTAGTTGTTGTTCGCCCAGGACCCGTAGTTCGGCGCGCCGTACACATGCGGCCCGAACTCGCTGTAGTATTTTTGCGATGCCATGTGGTTTGCTTCGTAGAGCGAAGACTGGGTCTGGTACACTGCACTGCCGTCAGCTTTCGGGCTGTGACCCTCTAGCGTGCTGGGCATTGTCTAACCTGAATTTAAACCCTTGAACAAACACGTGTGCACTCTTGCTGCGTTTTAGTGTCATTGCCGAATTTACTTTTGCGCTGATTCGCGTTATTTCGCGTTTGTGCCCCTCTCGCAGACATTTCACGCTCTTTTCACCCGGTCACACGACTCTGCGGTGCTCCATAGCACTTCTGCACTGTCTGGAGTGGCGCAGCTGCACCCTCCTCTTTTTGCAGTTCTCTTTTATTGAATACGGTATTGTTTAGAGTTAATCAACTTTCATCACACTGCGCTATCTCACCTCGCGTATCGCCGCGCCTGTAAATGGACATCAGTCAGCGCAAGCGCGTTCAGCAGGCGGCGAACGAATGCACGCCGCAGCTGCAAGTGATCTTGGTTTACTCGGCATTTTATCGACAGATTTTAGTTCTCGAGTTGCTGTGCGAGGCAGCGGACGGGCAAGTCGTTGTGGTAGCTTCGGACAATCGGAGTCTCGATTTGTTGCAGCCGTTCGTGAAGCAAATCAACACACGACGCGGCGCTAACAAGCTCGTCGCTGCTTACACTGCACTTGATCTGCTGCTAAATAACCGTGACTCAGTGAATGAATTCGGAGGTGAAACTAATTTTAATTCGTTTCAGGTTGCAGGTGCGGCGGCACAGGTTCCAGGTGCTGCAAACGAAGATTTTCGTAAAGGCACAACACCAGTGCATTTGGGTGCGGCAACGCAAAACACTAATCAGAATAATAAATTTGCTGAGCCGCTGTATATAGCACTACTCAACGCGAACTACACGCGAAACAAAGCGTTTCCACTCTGGCTCGCCAGTGAGCGTTCTGCGCTACGCATAGTTTGGCCAGTGTGTCTGGAGCAAGTTCCATCAATCGCCTCTGCTCTTGACACTATAACAGACTGGGGGCAGCGCGACGTTGCAGTGCACATATTGAACTGTGACGATGATTCGACATACCAAAACATCAAAACGTTCGCGTTGAAAAATGCGACAATCTGCACGATTGACGATGACCTACACAAAGCTCTTGGCGCCATTGAATGCGTGCTAAAGAAAGTAGCGAGTGTTCTGCAAAAGTCATTTTCCGGTAAGGCGGATGCTGCACACCTGAATGTGTTGATTGGTAAACTGCGTATCTCGTCCATTTTGGATCTGTACATGTCGGCGCTCGAGAGCGCATCTCAGTCGGCTCGCTGGACGAAGCTGTCTGACGCAGCCGACGGCATACTTCTCATCAAACGTCTTGTCAAAGACTACATAAGATTCGTCACATATCTTGCTGCGAGCAGCGAAGAGCCCCGTTTGCTTTTGTTGTGCAATTCACACAAAAGCGTAAACAGCTTCCTCAACCTTGAGCATATAGCAAAGCTCGAGCAAGACTTGACTCTCAAGAAGCAAGTACTTGAGCTTCACGCTTTGCTATACAAATCGGCGACTGTCACTATACTGAGCGCAGATGCTTTAAGTGTTGCTACGAGAGACGCCGTGCGCGAATTGTTTGGCATGACAAAAGACACTCATGGAACGCTCTGCACTGTTGTGAGTCTAGGCTGCGATAACTATGCGATGCTAACTGTGTTGGGCGCGCTGTCATGCGTAGCTCTGCAGCCTACTGCCGAATGTGCTTGCGGAGGCGCGCAAGTGAAACGTATGCGCAATGATGCGCGCAATAAAAACTGCGCTTTCACAGGAAAACTCAAATTCTATTTCAACACCCGCAGCGACGTTCAGAACTGCGCAGCGAACACGAAGAACCGCGCGAGCGTCTTGGCTGCGCTTCCACAGCTGAAAAAATATGTGGCGTACAACTACGAAAGGCAAGTCTTGCTGGATCTGCACAAATCTGAGTCTACCAAGATGAAACTTGCGATGCTGGCTGCCTCACCCGACAGCGGACTCGATTGGGTGCTACGGCAGTTGGAAAACGAGACAGTCGCAGTCAAAGTGGAAGCTGTGCAGAAAATTGGTGTTGACCTCTGCGCTCCTCTCGTTCCTCAGCTCGCGAGATTGAGACGCGTGACTGTTGACGTCAGAGAGATGCGCGCGGAAACGCCGCTAGAGTTCGTCAAGTGCGGCTTCGCGGTCGACTTTCAGCTTCTGCTTTGCGGAGATTATGTACTGAACGATTGCGTGGCAATTGAGCGAAAGTCAAAATACGATTTGGCTCTGTCGAATGCAAACCTGCGGCTCTTCGCGCAGATCGACTTGATGTCGCGCTTCTACCGCGACCAGATACTGCTGGTCGAGCTGAGTAGAGACGAGCAACTCGAGGGTGAGCCCTTACTGGTGGGCCACCTGCTCAGCTTCCCGCACCTGAGCGTGTTCTGGGCCGCTTCGCCGGCTCATTCAGTCAGCCTCGCCTCTGCTTACCTGCAAGCGCGTAGCTTCTTCGCAGAAGGCGCAGAGGAATTGCGCGCAAAAGCGAAGTTCACCGAAGAGAAGCGGAATTGCAGCATAGCGCTCGTTATTTTTTCGGTTCTCGCGAGCTCTCAAGAAGACGCAGACAGGTCGTTCGCGTCTCTGACAGACTTCGCAAAAAAAGCTCCGCGCTCAAAGTGGCTGGACTGTGTCTAGCGCGCAGCGACAATTCGCAATTGCATCTCGAGAATATTCTCAAGCGAAGAGATGATTTTGTCGAGCACGTCGCTTTCACAAAGTCGCTTACACAGCTCTTCATGTTCGGGAACGATGGCGCTAAACGTGACTCTGTTTCTGTGCAACGCCGGCGGGTGCGCGGGCTTCGCTTCAGATTTACCAGACAGCGACTCTAACGAAACGTCCAGGTAGTCGGCAAAACTCCCGGCGTCTTCAGAGGCGCAGCCGGAAACGAGCGGGCTGCCCGTCTCGGCAGACTTCGAAGTAAGAACTTTCACATGCTCGGCGATGTTGCGGTGCGAGTCTTCGATTTTCTGCAGAAGCTCCGTCAGGCGCGCGCTGCAGAGCAGTTTCCGCGCAAGGCGGATGCTGTTGTGTACAGAGGAACTGCGGCTGTCGAGCAGGCCGTCTGCCAGCAGACACTGCAGGCTCACGAGTTCCTCGGCAGTCGCAGCGTTGCTCTGCAGTTCGTCTACGCAACGTTGCAACTCGGCGCTGAAAATTTTGTTTTCAGTCTCTGGTTCTGCGCTGCGCAGCAGCGAAGAGTCGGATTTGCTCGCAAGAAAGGCGCGTTGTTTGCCAATGATCTGCTGCAGCGTTGCAACCAGCGCGAGGTGCTCTCCGGCAGCGATGCCTGAGCAGCGAGAGAGGCAAGCGGTGGCGTGTGAAGAGCTTTGGTCAGCAACGCGCTCTTCAAGTTGCGAAACGAGTCTGATGACGGAGTTCGGAACTGAGCAGCTTTGCAGCGTTTCGAGCGTCCGATCAAGATTCGCGACATGTTCCGCCACTCGACTGGAGACGGTGCGCGCCTCGCGTGGTTCGTCGCCGTCGGCAGGCAAGCTGCGCATGAATGCCTTGAGCGTCGCGTTGCAAGAGGCTATTGCTTCTTTGTTTTTGAGGAACAGAAGTGCAGCGGGCGCCAGCACATCGTTGTTGACTGCGTTATCGGAGGAGCACTCTGCGGGTTTGTTCTGTTCAGAAAGCACGAAGTTGATTTTGCCTTTGGCCGCACCACAAACAGTAGCACTTTCTCGCGACGCCGACGATGAAGCAGCGTCATGGGGCGGCAAACGGTCGCTAGTGAGCGAAAAGCAGGAGTTGGCAGCGCTGGTTTGTGCATGAGTTGCGGCAAGCGCAGGCAGCAGTCCACTGTTCGCCGACGCGTCCTCGTTGGCCGCGGATGCGTTTGCGTGTTGCCTGTCGCGCTCTCCTGTCTGGACGTTGCTTTTCTCCGCGGGAGGCGCCAAACTGAATGCTGTCCCGGCACGCGACGGCTCAGCAGGCGGCGTGCCAAGCGCGGCTGCTGCGACGGAATTCGCAGAAAACAGCGAAGTTGGCGCGCCGATTTGCTGCGCGGCGCTCTCCGAGGCCGGCTGCGAATTCGAAAACAAACTCGCGCCGCTGTTCTGCTTCCCAAACAGAGAAGAGAACGTGTTGCCAGTAGTTTGGCCGCTAGATGTGCTTGGCGCGGGCTTCGCAAAGAAGCTGGCGGCTGTTTTAGTCTTAGCGTCGCCGAAACTCAAGAAGGAAGTCGCGGGCTGTCCGAAAACGTTGTTCCCCGAGCTGTCGGCGCCGGCGGCCGCGGAGTTCGGCGCGAAAGGATTGTCTGAGCCGCCGGCGTTCTCATCGAGAGCCATACGCTGGACGGTAAAGGAGAAAGGCAGCAAAGGAAAATCTTGGCAAGCGCAGTGCGGAGCGACTTTGCGCGGACCCAACGCTACGCTGCAAAAGTGAACTGCGAAAATAGCGCGTTTGCAACAAAAGTTTTAATCGTTTTTAATGAGGAAAGCGCACGTCAGCATCATTGGCGCTGGCCAGTTCGCCAGCGTCATGGGCAACGTGGTCGCGCAAAACGTCGCGGACTCGGAGGATTTCGATTCTCGCATTGTTATGTACGTGTACGAGCCGCCGCTGCAATCTGGCCGATCGATTGCACAAGAAATCAATGAAAACCACTTGAACGTCTCGCTGCAGCCCCCGATGCAGATGCGGGAAAACTTGGTGGCGAGCACCGACTTGGCTCAGTGCGCAGCGAGTGCGGACTTTTTGATTTTCGCGTCGCCGCACCAGTACTTGGAGGCGCTGCTGGAGGATATGAAGGTGCACGTGAAGCGCTCGGCGCTCGCGATTTCGCTCTCGAAGGGCTTCTACTTCGAAGACGGCGAACTGCTCCTCGCGACTGCCCAGATCGAGACGGCGCTCGGCATTCCGTGCCTCGCTCTCGGCGGCCCGAACGTCGCCGACCAGATCGCGAGCTGCGAGCTTGCGGAGACCACGATCGGTTACCGCCAGCGCGAGCACGCGCTGCCTTTCTGCAAGCTTTTCGGCAACGCGACGTTTAAGGTGCGCGCGATCGAAGGCGTGGAGGGCGTGCAGACGATGGGCGCGCTGAAGAACATCGTTGCGCTGGGCGTCGGCTTTGCGCAGGCGCTCGGCGTTGGCAGCAACACCACCGCGCTAATCATGCGGCGCGGTATTAGCGAGATGTTCGCCTTCACGAAGCTCTTCTTCCCGGACGTGAGCTTCGAGTTTTTGCTCGAGAGCTGCGGCATCGGCGACCTGATTACCTCCTGCACCTCCGGCCGCAACTTGCGCTGCGCGAAAGCCTTCGCGCTCGGGCACGCAGAACAGGTGACGTGGGCCTCACTCGAGCGCACGATGTTGAACGGCATGAGTTTGCAGGGCCCGTTGTGTTTGCAGCAAGTGCACAAGGCGCTCTCGAAGCGCGAGCAGAAACGCGACTTCACGCTGTTCGAGGTGCTCTACCAGATAGCGTTCGAGGGCGCGCAGCCCGCGCTGCTGCTCGAAGTGCTTTCGCACAACATGCCGCACTACGTAGTTATATAGAGAAAGTGCGTGCAGAAATGTCTACTTTTTTTGAGGCGCGCCGATCTTGGCCTTCTCGGTGCCGCGGACCTTCTTGCGCTTGATGCGGATGTCCTTTTTCTGGCGGCGCGCAACGCGCGTCACGCGTTCCGCGATTCCCGCTCGCGCGAGGATGTGGTTCTTCTCGAAGCGCTTCGCCGCCTCCGCGGAGTCGTAGATGCGTCCGAAGCCGTGGCTTGAGTTTCCGCCGAACTTCGTGGTGAAGCCGCTGACAATGACGCGGCTGAGGTCCGGTACCTTGTAAATGCGCGCGAGCTCCTCGCGGACGGCGACGTTCGACAGGGGACAACGGTCCGCGTGTGAGACCTTCACCAAAAACTGCTTTCGCTGCAGCAGCGGGTTGGACTTAAACTTCTGAATGCGAATCGTTTGATTCATAGCTGACGCCCCAAGCTAATTCGATTAATCAAAATTAATAGACGAAACAAATTGCTTGTATCGCGTTAGGCGCCTGCCGCTGCGACGCGTTCTGCGCAGCCGCTCGGTGCGCTCTTTGCTTTTTGTTTGCACGCTCGGCGCACGTGCGGCGTGCGCGCCCGCCGCAGAGCACTCCTACGCGCAGTTGCGGCTCGAGCTTGCCGCTGCAATGGACGCGCTGTGCGCCGCGGCGACAGCGTCTGAGCTGCACTGCGCGCATTGGGAGCACTCGTTCAGTGCGCAGTGTGGCGACGTGGCGTGCGGCGCGCCGCTGCTCCGAGTACGCGGCGCAGAGTCGCGCGCGGCACTGCTGATCGTTGCGACTGTGCACGGCGACGAGCGCATTACGGCAGCGCTGGTCGCTGCACTGCTGCAGCGGCTTGCAGCGCGACTGCGAGCCGGGGACGCGGCGACGCGCGCAGCGCTGCGCGCTCGCGACATCACGGTGCTGCCGCTGGCGAACCCCGCTGGCGCGTACCGTTGTACGCGCGAAGACGCCGGCGTCGACCCGAACCGCGACTTTCCATTCTTCCAGGTGCCGAGCGCGCGCAGCGAGACGGCCCGGAACTTGATTCGACTGGTGATGGCGCGTCCGTTTGACCTCGTCGTTTCGCTGCACGCGGGCGGTGTCGCGAGCAATGCGCTCGACCGCAACTTGGTGCCGCTGCGGCGCTCGGCGAGATTCCGTCCCTCCATCACGTATCCGTGGGGCACTTTCGTATCGCTCCGCTCAGCGCCTGAGGACGAGCTGCGGTTGCGCGCAGCGGCGACCGCCGCAGCGGCGGCCGCCGGCAAGTTCCGCCACAGCACAAGCTGCGATGCAGAGTTCGCCACGCGGTTTCCCTACTTCTACGAAGCCGCCTCGCTTGATTCGCCGCTGTACTTTCAAGTTGGTCAGATTAACGAGGTCGTGTACCCCGCCGACGGCGCGTTCGAGGATTGGGTGTTTGGCGGCGGCCGGCATTTGGAGGGCAACCGCGCCTCGCGCGAGGTGCACGCCGCTTGCACGAAACACGAAGTGCGAGCCGGACTCGACTTGCGCGGCTGTTACATCCGACACCTTTCTGCGCTGCCACTGCTCTTCGAAGTCGCGCCGGTAAAGGACTGCGCCGAATTCATTGAGTCCCGTTGCTGCACGGACATTCTGCGCTACGGCGTAGATGCCGTGGAGCATCTGCTGCGGCTCGATCTCTCGCCCACTGGAGCGTCGACCGAGTTGCGTTAGTTCGCGTACGGACAGTCGTCGCACGCCCAGCGCGTTGCGGAGCACACAGAGCTGAAGTAGCAGGCGTGTGAACAAACGTGTGCTGACTTGATTTGCGAGCTCGTGGGCAGCGGGCCGTTCTGGGAGTCTTTGCTGATCGACTTGCTGATCAGTTCGAAAAGCGTGGCAGTCGAGTCTTCTTCGTACTTCGTCTTGTACTCTACGCTGTAGTCAAATGTGTTCTGGAAGCGCCCGTAGTGGTCCGAGCCGTAGCCGAAAATTTGGATGTTCGGACAGCGCGGAATGAACTCGCATGGCAGATTTTTCAGCGGGTCGCCTTTGTCGTACAGGATGTGGAAGTTTGGTTGGTTGGCGAGCGTCGCACCGGCTGCATCGAACTGCTGCAACGGCGAAAAAAACACGCCGTGAATGTTCCACTGTTCGTGGTCGAGTATGTGCTGCAGGTATAGCGCGAGCTGTAGCGCTACGCTTGCACCTAGTGAGTGGCCGGTCAGCATTAGCGTCGTCTTCTGCGCGCCTGCGACGCGCTTGCAGTTCGCATCTAGCGAGCTCAGCACTGCCTGCAGCAGTGTCGTTGCGATGGTCGCGACGCCACGGTGCGACTTGATGTGCGGCAGTACGGGGTCAATGATAAGCCACGTGCTGTAGTCCAAGTTCCATTCGTGGAAGGACTGCGTGCCGCGCAGCACCAGCACGCAACTGTCGCTGCTGTTCGACTCGATCACCGCTAGCAGCCGATGTTGCTGAATCGATGCGTTTTTCTTACTCTTTGCAAGCTGCGACAACGTGCTTTGCGCTATTCGTGGAAACGCTTCTATCAAGGTCCGGAAATTGCGCGTAGGGCTTATCGTGGAAAGCGACGGCGGCTTCAAAAGCATCCGCACGCGCGGAATCACAATCCTCTCGATGTATTCCGCAAGCTGATTTATGAACTGTTCGTCGTTCAGGTCTGCCGCGAATTCGCGAGTGAGCATTGTCGTGCGGCGCGCCGCGCGGAACGCGCCGGATTTGAACGGGTCGCGCTTCCAGAGAGTGTTTAGCACGTCGAATATCGAGTTGAAGAAAGTCACGTAGGACGAGTCCGTGATTTGCGCGCGGTCGTTGATCAGCTGCGTCTTCAGGAAAAAGAAGTATTCCAGCAATCCTTTGAGTTGCTCTAGCAAATTAATCAGGTTTGACATGCTCGCCGAACCAGGCCAGTAGTACGTGCGTTCGCGTCGGATAGCGCTGAACTGTAGCATCTGAAACACCGATCGCAGAGAGTTGATCAGATTGGTGAGCTCTTTATGTAACTTTCGGATGCCAAGGATGTGTTCCCGCTTCAAATCGCTGTAGCGGTTCTGATCGCGCAGCGACGTTTCCGTCACTGTCGTGTGGTAATAGGTCGAGGCTGTGATCTCTGACGACTGCTGGTACACGCTTGTGAAGATGTCCGTCGTTTTCCAGCCCGGCAGCAGTTCGTAGTTCTCGCGGTCGTCGTCAGCGGTTTTCAATTTCATGTCTTGCTCTGCGATGTAGTACAGCTTCATGATCGCTCTGTATAATAGAAAATATGTTTCGAACATCGAAGCATCACCGAGCGACCCTGTGGTGCGCAGAGCGATCGGTTCGCTTGTTTGTAGCATGCTAATCCGCGCAGCTGCGAGCGCGTTATTGTTGCGCAGCAAGCACTTTCCGTGATCCAGCAGCTGAAATATATTCGATGTTTTGTCGATATCCTGCGCCTTGCATGACGTGACATAGTACAGGGAATTCAGCAGTCCGCATGAAAACGGATAGCCGGATTCCCGCAGACTTTCCGTTTCGCGCTCGGCTTCAATCAGTCTGCACGCTTTCTCGACTGTCGACGCGGCGACGTCATTCCAGTTGGAGCTCGGGTCGATGTTCACGATGTCTGCAATCAGCTCGTCCAGACTGATGAGACTGGATATGATATTCATGCTAGAACTGACCGGCGACGTCCGGAAGTAGCGGTCGCGCAGCCCCTTGATGTCATGATGCGAGTACGAGCTAAATTTTGCATAGTTTAGTACGTTGGCAAACACTGCAGTTGGCATTGACAAGCAAGTCTCTGCAGACGCATTGAAGCCGAGAAACGATTCGATCGACACATATCGAATTTTCATTAAAGCGCATCGCGATTTACGACACCATAGGAAAACTAATTGCAGCGCCGAAGCGCTCAAGAAAATTCGCGACCGAAGTCGCTGATGCTGGCAAATACCAGCGAGCGCTGCACGATATAGTAAAAGTTGATATCATGTCTTGTCCACTCGCCGGAAATGACAGCTCGCAGCTAAACGTCACGCTGCGACGGGACGCAGCTGCCGCCGAGGTCGAAGGCTCTGGCGGGCACTTTATTTTGAATTTCTTTAGACCTAACGATTAAATATTTATCGACGCATCATGACTTCTAAGCGAAGAAACAATGGTCGCTCCAAGATGAATCGTGGAAAAACGCGCGTCGTGCGCTGCAGCAACTGTGGCCGCTGTGTGCCGAAGGACAAGGCGATTAAGCGCTTTACCGTGCGTAACATCGTTGACGTCAGCAGCCGCAACGACATCCGCGAGAACAGCTTCATCGAGGGCTACAACATCCCGAAGGTGTACAACAAGATGATCCACTGCATCTCTTGCGCCGTGCACAGCCGCATTGTGCGAGCCCGCGAGCGCTCTGCCAGGAAGATCCGTCGCATTGTTTCGCAGAACAGCATGTTCGCGCGAAAGCACTAAATGTATTTGCATATATGTCTAGACTCGGGGAGTTTCACGCGCTGTTAATGCGCTACTCGTCGACGTGATGCGACCACTCAGCAATTTGTAGTATGAGTGGCGCCATGAATTTGTTGCGGCGTGTTATGCGCTCCGCAAGTTGCTTGTACAGTTCGGCCGCCTCTCGCGCCTCATTCGCGCGTTCGGCCTGCAGGCGCTCGACAAGGGCTGGCAAGCGCATCATTTTCTCCCGGCGCAGCGCGCGCGCCAGATATTCAATGCGCTTGTACTGCTGTGAAGCGTTCTGCCGACGTTTCTCGACCTTCTGGCTGATGTAGCTTTCAAGCGCCGCGATAAAAGCGCGCAGCGTGACGACCTGGTACAGCAAGTGGTTCACAGTGATTTCCGCGAGAGGCACGCCGTAGATGTAGAACGCATTGCACGAGCACCCCACGGAGTTCACAATGGCTCTCATGCGGTCGAGCGCCAAACTGGCGTACTGCAGTCGCGAAGCTTCGTTCGCGCGCTTGATTTTGTTCTCCTCGATTTCGCGCTGAATTTCGTTTGCCTTTAACTCCTCCGCTTCTTTGTGCGAGCGGAGCTTCTCGCGCTCAATTTCGTTGCGCCGCTCGATGATCCGCTGGTAGAAGCGGTCAATTTCAGCGAGCTGCTCTGTGCGTAGCTTGCGGTGTTTCTGCAGTACTTCTGCGTGCGCATCGACCTCGTTGCACAGCTGCAAGTGGTTTGAGTTGCGCTCGTGCAGTCGAGTGATGTGCTTGTAGTTTAGAATGGTTTGTAGCAAACTGCGGTTGACTGCCATAAGCTTCTTCAACGTGTTTACTTTGTTACAGGAGTTGTTGCGATTGCTGAAACGAATGAGTCCCTCCGCAATGTCGAGTGCAATATCCATGTCGGAGTGCTCAGCAAATTGTACGATTAAGAGCTGCGCCGCCGGCCATGAGATGAACTCGTCGGCCACAGCAATGTTCTTGAAGTGAGACAACTGGATGCTGCTAAACACCGAGGCGCACACGGTCACAAAGTTGCAAAGGAAAACGCGGCAAATAGGCTTGTAGTACAGGCGAGTCAGGTCGTTAAGCGAGCCACTGTAAAAACTCCAAAACACTTTGAGTTTTTCGCTCTCTAGTTTTGAAAACTCCTCGTCAACATGCGCGAGCAGCTGCTTAGCTAGCTGCGGCAAGTTGCGCGGGAATGACTTGTGATTCTCCAAAGTGGCGAACAAATTTTGCACCGAGCTAGTGCATTGAGATAGCAAGCCATGCACCTTGATCTGCGCGAGAAGTGTGTCGCGGTCCAGCGAATTCGGGAACGACAGCAAGTGCGAGTTGCTTTTGCGCACGCTGCTTTCGCTATTGTAGTGCGTCGCGTGCGTGAACACCGGCAGCGGGACCGCCAGACACGCGAGCACCACTATGTTCGTCGCAATTTTTTTGTCCTCCTCCGACAGCAATTTGTTTTGCTGCTGCAAGTTCAAGAACCAGCGGAACATCGCGGCTGCGTGGAAACACAGCAAGTCGGCCTTGAAATAGTAAATCGTCAAACTGTCATAGTACTCGTTGAGCGCTCTGTAGAACAAGTTGCGGTCGGCCGGTACGGTCGAGTTGGTGGCGAGGTCCAGCAGCCCGAAGTCGTGCAAATCCTCGATCGTTTGCTTCGTTTCGCGCCAGCATTCAAGCTTCATTGCGGCACGCAGTTGCAGCACACGCGTCTCGATGTGGATCACTGGTCGCTTGAGTTCCTCGAAGTCTGCAATCTGCTCTTCGTCGATCTTGCGGGACTTCAGCTTGGAGATGATCGAGTACTGCAGCCGCACCGCGTCGCATATGCGACGGAAGTCCGTTTTCAAATTATGCTTCACGCACAGCGCGTACGTGCGGTGGATCGTGTCGTGGTACGTCTGCCACACCTTCGGCGTGACGCGGATCATGTCGATGATTAGCTTGTAAACGTCTAAACAAGTGCGGATGCGCGTCTCTACTAGAAACTCGGACTTTTCGTTGTTCAGTATCTCTTCTGCCTTGCTGCGGAACGAGTGTAGCACCGACTCGAAGACGTTTAACATCCCAATGGAGTGCGTGCAGTGATTTCGGTACACCGCGAGAGCGTCGCGCGCAAACTTCACGCGGTCGAGCTCTACGGCGAGCTCGAAGTAGCGTACAACAATTTGCTCTTGAAGACTGGAATCCCACTGCATGCCTCGGAAGCGCCGGTCGCAGATGGTGCTGTGCAGCAGTTCCAGCGCCTCGCCCGTCTGCCCGACATTGACCAGATCCTTTGCGCGCTGCAGTGCAAATTTGGGTTGCAGAAAATGGTTATTCATGCTGCTTCAAGCCCAATAGACCAGCGCAGACAGCTCAAAAAATTAGAATATAATTAAAAGTTCTCTAAAAACTAGCAATGTTTGTTGCCTAGTGCTTTGCCGTTCGCAGTTCATCTTCAATGAGCTCAGACATTTTTTCGGCAGCCGCTTTGTAGGCGTTCCTCAAATGTTCGTAATATTTATATTCTGTCTCTGCCGAGAGTTTGTATATTTTGTGTGGTGTGGCGAAGCAAATATGCAGGTTCCCAGTAGCGTAGGAAAAGTTGAGCAGTCTGCTGTACGCTCGCATCTGCGAGGGTAACTTGTTCGTCTTTGCATTTTTTAGTATCTTCGAGATTATAGGGGATTTCTTGTCGCTCTCGATGAGCTGGACCGTGGAGCACTTCACCGCGTCAACTTTATTGTATTGCTCGATTTGGTCTTGGTGAATAGTTTCAAATCGCGGATCAGGATGGAGTAAACTAATTAGCGCTTCACGGATCGCGGTTATCCGCACTTTCATGTAATCTGCGGAGTCGGGGCTGAACGTGGGTTGATAAAGATATTCCTGCTTAATGGTGTTAGTTAAGCGCATAAAAATGTAGAACGTGCCTTGAATGGCAGTCATTAACTGTTTATGCACCGAACCTGCAAAGAAATGCGACTCATCTAGTTTTGCTGGAGCGCGTATGTCAGGGTAGAACGTGGCTTGCATGTTGCCGGGTTCCAGCCCGAGCAGTGGATACGGATTCTCGCAAGTGGCGTTGGAGCTAATCGCTGTGTATCCGTCCGCTAAGCATTGCGCAGCGACCATGCGCATCGCGTCATAATTGCTCATCGCAGGCATCTGTGACGCTGAGAGGAAAAGAGCATGAGGTTTCCTGCAGTACTGCTGCTCAAGCGTGTCATTTCCATCCATGTTCATGCTCGGAATCCGAAAGTTTGTTGTGCAGAAGTTCGACACGAAGATCTGAGTAGGTAGGAGCGAAATGCCTCTGTACGGAACTTTCATATCAGACAGTTGCATTAACTTTGAGTGCAACTGCGCGCCAATGACGAAGTATGTCTGGAACACCTGTACCAGTGTTTGAAAAAACTGTTTTGTGTAATGCGCGTGCTGTATACTGTAGTTGTCGAAAACAGCGATGACATCTTTGGGGTTGCGGAACGTGTCAACATTCAATTGCTTGTAAGTAAAGAAGGCATTGTCAGTTTCAAGAGCTCTCTGCAGATCTTGGAACCTCCTCGTGATCATCATAAGGTTTTCGTGAAACAGTTCGTTGAAATTGCGCTCTTCAGCTGTGTATAGAATAAAAAAACCGTTATACTCTCTTGCCAGCATCTCACCGGTTTCGTTGTCCCATATCGCAACGAAAATTGGCTGGTTGAGAGCAACCTGCATTTGAGCTAGTAGGTTCTGGAATGAAGAAGGCTCTTTGTCAGATTTTAGAGTAAAGCGAACGTAATGAATCACGGCTCTTTTCCATTCATCCTGCTGGTGCGTGCCCAGCGGTCTGAAAAACGAAGTGTTCGACCGTTTCGTGTTGCTTATTCGGCCGTAATAAAGCTTCCTGACGTTGTCAGCGTTGCTTAGAAACTGCGGGGATATAATTGAAAATTCAGCGTTCTCCGACAAGTTGAAGAAATAACGACATATAGGAAAGCCGTCAGACATTGGAAAAACGGCGTCATAGTTCGGTTTGATTGGCGTAATAAGTTTTCCTAAAACGGCCATTGCCCCTTCGTCAAACTCGCCTTGGTGTGATCGCAAAAAGTGCGGACAAACGGCTGTGGGATTGTGTATTTCAACAGGGGCAGGTCGGCCTGGGACGTATTCTAAGTCGTGATCGTGCATATGAAGGAAGGATAAAAGCACGGAAGACGCCTCCAATCCTCGATACTCGAGATCATCTATATGGGGGCGAATCTCATCGTACAGCATTCCTTTGAGATTCGTAAATTGCATCGCAGTCGCTGCGCTAAGCGACAGACAGACATTGACGAATAGCTGCATTTTTAATATACAGTTAATAATTCTGTTAAAGACATGCACATCAACTGCCTGAAAGTGCACAAACTGAACTTCACATTGCTGCTACCGCACTCTTCTTTCATGCCCTTTCAGCGCTTGACTGTCTCGACTGCTGCGTCATGAGCAACAAGAACCAAGGAGAGGGAGCTGCAGAGCAGCAGCGGAACAAACAAGACGTTTCGGCAGCAGAAGGTGCTGGTGTGCCATTGAGGCTCCGTGAGCGGCTGCTTGAGCGCACGGCACTCATTGGATCTGGCGCCGCTTCTGCTGGACAAAAAGACAAAGTAAAGTCCAAACTTGTGTTTGTGCCGCGAGCTAGCAGATGCGACGCTGGTTCTATGCCAGGCTTGCCGCACGCAGCAATATCTTCTAGCAGCCAGTGTTTGCAAAAAGCGTTAGCGGAAAAAATTCAGTTGCTCAGAGGCGTTTCTGCGTCCGACAGATTCGACGCCGCCTCTTCTAATAGAGGTAGCGGCTTGCAGACGTTTGCTCCCGCAGTGCCGAACCTGAGTAGTGTTTCTTACCGGGAAGGCCAACCTGTAGAGACAGTGGACAGCATTAGCTCGCTCGCAGACGTTGCTTCCGAATCCGGGTTGAATCCGATTCAGGTCCCGCTTTGGAAGCAAGCGGACTGCTCCATTGATGCTGGTCAGCTTCTCGTTGATCTTATTTTTTCAAAACCCGCAGATGAGAACGCTAACAACTCTTGGCACTTACTCCAGTTGCCAGATATTCTGCCTTCGTTTCTGCTGCCGGCCTCTGAAGAGTCTGCGCCAACGACCAGCGATTCGCTCGCGAAGAATCCGCGCTTCAACCCTTTCGTGCAAGAAGATAAACCACTTGAGTCTGCGGTTTACGTGCCTTCCTCGCTCCGCGAATTGCCGGACAGCATCGTCGGCAAATTCGTGCGCAGGCGGTCTGGCAAAGTCGAGTTCGTGCTGGATCAGCACCGAATGGACGTGCGACTGTGCAACGAGCCTAATTTCCACCAGAAACTTGTAGCGCACCTGCATAAAAGTTCCGAGCTCTTTTTCCTCGGAGAAGTGAAACATAAAATGGCCGCCACGCCCATCGTAGTCGACGAAAGCTGAGTTCCGCCGCGTGCATTTGTGTGCTAGCTATCTAATACATATGCGCATCCTCCATGATTTCTGCCGTCACGCCCTGGTACTGCTCGTACTCCGCAATGAGATCGGCCATGTTGCTCTCAGCCTCTGTGAACTCTAATTCCTCCATGCCTTCGCCGATGAACCAGTGCAAGAATGCTTTGCGCTTAAACATCACCGCGAACTGGTCTCCGACGCGCTTGAACACTTCTTGGATGCTGGTGCTGTTACCGATGAACGTCGCGCTCATCTTCAATCCCTTCGGCGGAATGTCACAAATTGCGGTCTTGATGTTTGACGGAATCCACTCAACGAAATTGTCCGACAAGCGATTTTGGATCTTGTACATTTCGGAATCCACGTCTTTCGTGCTGACTTCCCCACGGAACAACACGGAAGCCGTCAAATATCGGCCGCTACGCGGGTCGCATGCGCACATGATATTACTGGAGTCAAAAGCCTGCGTAGACAGTTCGGACACGCGCATTGTGTTGTACGGCTGCGAGCCGCGGCTGTTCAGCGGCGCGAACCCGATCATGAAAAAATGCAGACGCGGAAACGGGATTAAGTTTACCGCGAGCTTTCGCAAGTCCGAGTTTAGTTGCCCCGGGAAGCGCAAACAGCACGTGACGCCACTCATCGCAGCGCTCACCAAGTGGTTCAAGTCTCCGTAGGTGGGAGTCGTCAATTTCAGCGTGCGGAAGCAGATATCGTACAAGGCTTCGTTGTCGATCACGCTGACGAAGTCCGCGTTCTCTACCAGCTGGTGCACCGAAAGCGTGGCATTATACGGTTCGACTACCGTGTCGCTAACTTTCGGCGAAGGAAATACGCTAAACGTTTCGATGATGCGGTCGGGATACTCCGTGCGCAACTTGTTGATCAGCAGCGTGCCCATGCCAGAGCCAGTGCCGCCGCCGAGCGAGTGCACCACTTGGAAGCCCTGCAAACACTCGCAAGACTCCGCGTCTTTTCGAACGACGTCCATCACGGAGTCGATCAAGTCCGCGCCTTCCGTGTAGAAGCCTTTCGCCCAGTTGTTCCCCGCGCCGGACTGACCAAAAATGAAGTTGTCCGGCCGGAACAACTGCCCGAACGGGCTCGCGCGAATGCTATCCATTGTTCCCGGTTCTAAATCTACGAGCACGGCGCGTGGCACAAAGCGTCCGTGTTGCGATTCGTTGAAAAACACATTTACGCGTTCGATCTGGATGCCGCTCTCCCCCGTGTAAACACCTCGCCCGTTTATGCCGTGCTCGTCGGCGATCACCTCCCAGAACTTCGCGCCAATTTGGTTTCCGCATTGTCCCGCTTGTATCTGAATGATCTCTCTCATGGTAATAATTTACAAATTGCGGTACATTAAAAATCCGTGTGCAACGCGCGTTTTAATGGATTAACTGGAAAGAAAGCATCTGCGTTTCTGCAGCCAGAAATTGCGATTTACGTCTACTCATGCCTCTGCTTGCCGCTGGGTTGCGCGGTTGCCCGCGACGGCGCGCTGCTATGAACACTTGTACAAATACCTTGCAATGCATATAAACTGAGGCAGTGTGAACTTCTCGTCGTTGGCTGCCTTCAGCAGCGCGTCACGGCCAGAGAACTCTGCTTCAATGTTGATCGGAACAAACCTGAAACGGTTTTCCTCGTCGAGGTTCTCGCAGTTGAAAGTGACGCGCAGCGGCGCACCGCTTGTCTTTACGCCTTCGACCTGCAAGTCGATCGTGATCGTGTCGTCCGAGGGCGACCAATCGCATACCGTGACGCCGAAACTGGTTGCGAAAAATCTAAGCTTCGTTTCGAGCTCGGCAAGCGACTTCCGCGAGTGCTCCGTGAGGTAGGAGTACTCTGCTGCACGCGCGACACACTTACCGGTGTTCAAAAATGAAAGTTCTTCAAAGTCGGTTTTTAGTTGTTCTTCGGCTTTCGCGATGTACAACACGCGCTTCTCGGCCTCAACAGACTGTACAAACTGCATCCGAATTTGGCGCACTTACGTCGACGCCCGACTGGAGCTGGCTCTCGGTTTCTTCGATTAGGCGCAATTCTGAGGAGCGCCGTTGTGCACTTACCAGCAGCAAACTCTGCAATTACGACTTCTAGTTTCGCGATCTCCGCTTGTGTGCGTTCCTCGCGTTCTGCCTCATGCGGACGCGAACCTACCTTCTTTGTTGGCGAGCGTTCGCTTGATAAGGTTATGGAAGTTCTTGATCACGAGTGGCGAAGCCACTGATTTAGCCGTTTGTAAAATGTACTCAGTCGTGACTCCTTCCATGAATCTGCTCCAAAGTTGCTGGGCTATTTTTGCAGCGTCACGCAATTATATTGATAGTTTCTGCAATAATTCGTCGGATGCGTGAAGCGACGTATGCGCTTGAGAGTGGACCACTTTCGTCAAAGCCAGGGCTGTGCAACACGTACGATTTAAAGAGCTGCACAGATCTGCTGAGCAGCGCTTCGACTGCCGGGACGTCGGCAGTGAGCGTTTGCGCTACAGCGATGAACTTGAAGTCCTCGCTCGAGCAGTAGAATGCAATCTGGATGTCGGCAGTTGAGAGCATCGCGAGCGCGGCGCTGAAATTTGTCGAAGCTTTGCTAGCCGATGCTCCAACTTTCCTGGGAGACGCGCCAGCAACGCGCTCCTGAACGTGCTGCAGCACGCCGAACGTGGCAAGAAGGACACCTGACCGCATGATTGCCTGATCGCTACTGTCGCCTGTCTACGTTACCTTGAGCTTCGACCTACACTCGTAAAAACCAGTACATCGCTGCTGTTTAGAACATACAGCGTGGCGGACATTTATTCCAGCTATTTATTTAATTTCCTCATAGTACCTACCTGAATGGAGCTGTCGCTAGACACAGTGATTAGCAGTAAGCAGAGTGATCAGCGGCGCCAAAACGTTGTCATCGCGAAGTCTGGACAGAAGGCGAAGAAGCGCTCAGCACTCGATCACATTGAAATCACTAAGCCAATTATTTTGAGCAGAGAGAAACCGAAGCAGCGACGCCACAAGCTCTTCACACTGCGCCGATCGAGCCGCTACACCGTCGATGAGCCTAGCGAACTGCGTGCGCTCATGCTTAGAAAACTCTTGAGCAAGCAAAAGGCGCTATGAGCGTACGATGCGCCGGCGCAATAATTGTGCGACCTCTCTGTGTAGAAGGTTTTCCTCGTTTTTTATTAACTACAGTTTTTTGGAATTATGCACACTAACCAGTTGTCCATAGCTTCGTCGGCCCTTGCAAAGCAAGGCCTCAGCAGCCACGCAGCTGTATTGTTTGCTGTCATATGCGCGCACATCTCAGTTGGTTATGGCGTCGGCAGCGTGACTCCCCTTATGGAGCCAGTTACCCATGAGTTTAACCTTGGCAGTTCCGAGCGTTCGTTGCTCGCCGCCGCTGTGTTGTTCGGCAACTTGTTTGGCAGCCCGATCGGTGGCATGCTGTCTGACCGAATTGGTCGCAAATCAACGTTAATGATTACTTGGATGGCTTTGATTGTGACGATGCTCAGCGAAGCGGCTTCAACGTACTATTATCTGCTGTTTACCTGCCGAATGCTTATCGGCTTCTTGACGGGCGCGCACTATGCCGCAGCCACGACTTACATGGTGGAGATTTTCGACAAGAAGACCGCTGACCGCAACGCGTGTCTCGTCGAGATTAATTTCTTTGTCGGTGTGTTCTTGTCGTACGCGTTCGGTTTCGGACTCGAACGCTTCGTGACCAACTCCTCTATGTTGTGGCGATCAGTTGCGATCTGTGGCGCGTTACCGGCTGCTATTGGCTTTTTCGTACTTGTAATTGCGTGTCCGGAAAGCGAGACATACCTTGCGAACAAGAACCTCAACAAGCGCAGGAGGGAACATGGCACTGTAGTTAGCGCCGGTCAGGAATCTCTGTGGAGCGGCAAAAACCTCAAGTCGATTTTGTTCGTTTCGACCTTCTGGATGGCTGTTTCGGTTCCTGTTTACTGTATCGGTGCCTTTCAGATTAGCTTAATCCGTAACTTTGGCGTCTCGCTCTCACCGCACCTCGTCAACTCTATTATGGGTTTCGTCGGCATTCTCGGCGCGGTCACCGGCACGAACATTATCAGCACGCTTGGCCTGAAGTGGACTCTGCTGTCTTCGGTAATCGGAAGTATGCTGGTTTTCTCGTCGCTCGCCGCTCTGTCTTACTACACCACCACCCCAACGCAGTTAGTGGAATACTGCGTGATTGTGTTGCTCTCCTTGTACAACTTGTTCGCCGGTGTTCCAGCGCCGTTGATCTTCATTTACCCTGGCAAAATCTTTCCCTCAAGCGTGAAGGGAACTGCTAGCGGAATCTGCGCCGCGATTGTGCGCCTCACAACTATTATTTTTATGTTCACGACCGGCAACGTCGTGAACACCTTACCCGCATTCATGGTCACTGGCGGCACTGCAATCTTCTGTTTGTTCACGTTAGTCGTGCTCGCTTCCATGACGCCTAGTGACAAGAAGGTCGACGATATTTTTACGGAGTTTTGCCGCCGGGACGAGGAAATGAAAGAATCGTGTGCAAACAACCAGGCCGTTGTGTTGTAGAAGCGCTCCGCTACATCGGAAGCGAGGTGCGCAGAACGCGAACCGGTTTTATTTTATAGATGAAGTCAAGCTGCGTGTAAGACACGCCAGGCGAGTTTCGGAATCGTGCACTTGCTTTTTCCTGTGCAACGCGAATATATTATTTGATCCTATTTATTCATTATCGTAGATGAGATGGAAAGTTCAGTAAAAGTCTTTACCCCGCAAGAGGTCTACGATCTGAAAGTTTCGACGACTTCATCAAAGCTGATTAAGCAAATCCAGAGTTTGGTGCTCGCACGCGGTTCGCAAAAAGCTGCTAAAAACGCTAAGTCTGACAAAAGCCAGGGATGGTGGAACGCTCAAACGATGGACACGTCGAACATTCAGACGCTTGGTGACATCCGCACGGCCGATGAGATAATGATTAGCAAGCGCATTAGCCTTTCGGAATACTGCAAAGCTCTCGACGCGACGCAAAACGCGGAGCCGGAAAAGCACGAGAGCCGTTTCATGCGCATGTTTAACCAGATCAAGTCGCATAATGCGCCAGAGGACGGCACGGATGCTGCGAATGCTGGCACTCCAGCTGTAAAACCGGCGTGCCGCTCGGGCTCGCAGTCGCCGCTCGGGAGCTGCAAGCCGCCTGGGCTCGCGGCGAGCGCTGGCGGCGAGCCGCGCACCGAGAATGATTTCAACGCGGGCTGCGGGGAGTCTGGGCGAGCTGGCGCGGCTTGCGGCCGGGCGCCGGGCGCGAAAGCGCCGTCTTCGCGTTCCTTCGATGGCGTGCTATACGCAGAGAAAGGTTTCGGAGCGACGCGGTTGCGCGGTCCGCATGGCGAGGTAGCGCGGGGCGGCGCGAACGAGTTCGCGCCGACGCAAGGCTTTTACGACCAAATCTCTCTTCCGGAGGGGCGCTCCGTGGCGTCGTGCAAGGCGTCTGGCACTGATTCTGGCACGGAGGGCGGCAAAGAGTTGGAGGTCGAGGCTGACTTACTGTTGCAGAAACTCTTCCACTCGGCAGGTGACCTGACGATTGCAAAGCTGAATAAGATCAAGAACGTGCTAACCATTGCGCTGGCCGACGGCCACGGCATTCCGCGCGAGCGCCAGCGGCTGCTTGTAGAGAAGGCAATTCGCAAGATCAGCTCGATCTGCAGAGACTTCGAGGCGAAAGAAGCTGCGATGGAGAACCTCGCGAAGCTCGGGCTTTCGCATTGTGGAGGTATCGATGATCGCTTCCTCGACGACAATCGGCTAACTGCGTGCGCCGCGAAGCAGACTGCGGCGTTGGACGCTTGCGCGCTAGGCGCGCGCGACGCGTTTTGCGGGGTGGCTGAGCACGTCGACTTTTTGGCGGACCCCGAAGTGTCGGATCTCATCAACAAGTGCGTGCTAGCACACGTCGCCTCGCCAAACGCCGTCGCCGCGCGCTATAAACTAATTCTCGGCACGATTGCTTCTTACGTGGATTCGAGTCGTACCGCCGGCAAAAGCGCAGAACTCATCAAGGCCGGACTTATCAAGCTGCTGGAAGCGATTTTGCGCACGAAAGTGCGTGAGCAATGATATAACGGCCTAATATTTTCGGCAATTCTCTTTAAAATCTCACTCGCTTATGAGGAACGCACTGATTCTCGCAGGCAACAGCAATCCGGCGCTCGCGAGCCGCGTCGCCGCGGCGCTGGGCGTTCCGTTAGGCCGCATGTTTTGCGGGCGATTTGCAGACGGCGAAGTCAACCTCGAAATTCAGGAGAGCGTTAAAGGCAAAGAGGTATTCATCATTCAGTCGACCTCGAAACCCGTTAACGAGGCTGTGATGGAGCTGTGTCTCATAATTTCTGCGGCGCGCCGCTCGAACGCGGCTTACGTCACCGCGATCATCCCTTACTATGGCTACGCGCGGCAAGACCGCATCATGAAACCAGGCGTGCCTATCAGCGCCGCGGAGGTCGCCAAAATCATCTCCGCGATGTGCCCCGACCGCGTCGTTTGTCTCGACCTGCACTGCGGACAGATCCAGGGCTTCTTCCCGCTGAACATCATCGTCGACAACCTTGGTACGATCCATGTGGGCCTCAAATTCTTTGTCGACCTAGCGCTGCGCGAACCGGTGATCGTCTCGCCCGACGGCGGCGGCGTCTTCCGCGCGCAAAAATTTATGGAGTTGTACAAGCAGCAGCGCGGCACCGACGACGTTTCTTTCGCGCTGATGAACAAGGTGCGCAAGGTCGCCAACGAAATCGAAGACATCCAGCTGATCGGCTACGTTAAGAACAAGAGTTGCGTCATTGTCGACGACATGATTGACACCGCAGGCACACTCTGCGAAGCCGTAAACTGCCTGATCGCCAACGGGGCGCGCGTCGTCTACGCTTTTGCCGCGCACGGGCTGTTCAACGGCAAAGCGCTCGAGCGCATCCGCAACAGTCCGCTTACGGCCGTGGTCGTCACCGACTCCATCGCGCACAGCGCCGAAGTGCTTGCCTGCGAGAAAATCAAAGTCGTCTCCGTCGACAAACTCATCGCGAACGTCATCCGCTTCAACAAGGCCACGCTCGCAGAGCAAGACACGAACTCTTACCCTGAAGATTGAGTGGGCCGCTTCGCTTGCGCGAGCGCGTGCAGTTTCAGGAAGGCGAGCGCCGAAACGCGTGGCCGCTGCGGATCGTAGACCACCGGCGGTTGGTACGCGACCGCCGAATAACTCGCCTGCGCGGGAGCTGTGAACTGCAGCGCGGGCGCGCGCCGTTGCTGTGCGCGCGCGGCGTTCTGCAGCAGCGTCTCGAGCTGCGAGAGCAGCCGCGCGAGACTCGCGTGTTCGCCGCGCAACACATCGTTGCTGAAGCGCACGTCGTTCGCGAGTGCCGACAGCCACAGCTCCGGCGTTAGATACGCGTCCACAGTGCCCAAACAATCTTGCGGCAAGTCCAGTGCGTCGAACAGCGCGACCGCGCCCTGCAGCAGCTGCGTGCGCTGCTGGAAGCGCTTTCTGCTGCGCGCCGCCAGCACTTACAAGTACTCCGCGAGCTTTAGCTTCATCAGTTCGACTTTCGCCTTGTGTTGCGAAGCCAGCAGCGCGGCCTTTTTTGAGTCCGGCGCCTCGTCGTACTCCGTCGACGCCGGCCAGTTCTCGAGCAGTCGAGCCGCGTTCGAGATTTCCTCGATAGCGAACGCCAGCTGCTGCCGGAACTCTGTCGGCGACTGCGGCGCACAAACCGGCCGACGACTGGCCTTCTTGACATCCGCAGCTGCAGACGCAGGCATTTCTGCGTCTACAGCAGCACTCATTTTGCACGTCGAACTTTCGCAGCTGCGCTTGCAATTTTCGATTATTCGCGGATTTATTGCCGAATTTAGCGCAGATCGAAGCCATGTTTGAAGTGTTCCGCAACCTTCAGACGGGCATGAAGTCCTACAAGGCGGACTTGATGTCGAAGCGCCGGCGCTTTCCGGCCTACGTGCTGAATATAGACAAGGTCGAAGGCACGACCAACCCGACCGGCGGCGGTCGCGACTCGACCGGCAGCGATGTTCTTTCGCGGTTGCCGCTGGTCGCGCCGTTTTCGCGCTGTCTACTTCGGAAGCTGCGGCTCGAGCGTATCGCGGATTTCATGCAACTCGAACTCGACTACCTCAAGACCAAGAACGCAGAGCCGAACGCGGACGAACTGCAGAACTTGCACAAAACAGAGGCTGCAGAGCTGCAAGGCTCGCCGCTGTTGCTCGCGACCTTGAAGGAATTTGTCGACGACTCTTTCGCGATCGTGACGTGCAGCCTCGGCTCCGATTTGTTCGTGCCGATCCTCTCGATCGTCGACCGCTCGAAGCTGCAGCTCGACTGCAGCGTGCTACTGAGTCATCGTATGAACGCGCTGGTCGGCGTGCTTGAGAACGAGCCGAGTCCGCTTGTCTCGGTGATGAAGGTCGAAAAGGCGCCTTTGGAGTCGTACGAAGACGTCGGCGGGCTCGCAGAACAAATCCAGGAACTCAAAGAATCCGTTGAGCTTCCGCTGCTGCACTCAGAGTTGTACGAGGACATTGGCATCACTCCGCCGAAGGGCGTTATTCTCTACGGTCCGCCGGGCACCGGTAAGACGCTACTTGCGAAGGCCGTCGCACGCGAGACATCCGCTACCTTTCTGCGTATCGTCGGCTCTGAGTTGATTAACAAGTACCACGGTGAGGGCTGCCGCCTCGTGCGCGAGCTGTTCAAAGTCGCGAAACAACTGAGTCCATCCATTATTTTCATTGATGAGATCGACGCCGTCGGCACGCGCCGATACGACACCTCTTGCCGCGGCGAGCTCGCCGTGCAGCGAATTATGCTCGAACTGCTAAACCAACTCGATGGCTTCGACAACAAAAGCAGTGTTAAGATCATCATGGCCACTAACAAGATTCAGTCGCTCGACCCCGCGCTCATCCGCTCCGGCCGCATCGACCGTAAGGTCGAACTGCCGCCGCCCGACGAGAAAGCCAAGAAAAAGATTTTCGAAATCCATACGCGGCGCATGACGCTGCACGACGATGTAGACTTTACGGAGTTCATCAACGACAAAACCAACCTCAGTGGCGCCGACATCAAAGCTATTTGCACCGAGGCCGGACTGCTCGCGCTGCGCGACCTCAGCGTGCGTGTCTCGCTCGCGAATTTCCGCGCCGCCAAAGAAAAAGTGCTTTATCGGCTCAAGGGCAAGACTGTGCAGTCGCTCTACGCTTAGACGCCGCGTGACCTCTGCGTGTCAAACTCTGCGCGCAGCCTGCCAATTTCTGCCCGCGTTAGCTGCACCGCGAACGCGCAGCGCATAATGCGCGAGGGCAGTTCTGCGTGCATCACTCGTTTCATCGCCTCATAACAGTTGTCTTCGAACCCGTCCTGCTCTCCACCGCTATTTGATCCGCCGCTGCACAGTCCGCCGTTCTGTTTGGAGCGCTTTGTCTCCACGAGCGCCAGCTGCAGCACTCCGAGAAGCACGCGGAAAAAAATCTTATCTCCTTCCATCAACCAAGAGTCCCAAATGCGAATCGTCAGTAGCCACGGCACGCTGTGCGTGTAGCACGAGAGAAACCACTGGTTCGCGTAGCCGTAGACGATTGCGTCTAATTCGCGCAGCAGCGGATGCCGCCTTGCGACTAGCTTGCGTGCCACGAAGAGGTCGCGCGCCAAGCAGTGCATGCCGTTTTGGAAGTAGCCACTGCGTACGAGCAATACTTTTTGCAGCAAGTCGCGTGCGGACTGGTGCGGAAACAGCACCAGCAAAAAGGCGGCAATGTAGTTCATGCCTTGGCAGTAGCCCATGTCGGCTGCCTCCGCCGTCGTTGCTAATAACTCAAGCAGCCGCCGCGGCTGCTCAGCAGATAAAAGTTTGGTAGATATGAAGGTGCGCGCAGCGTCCAGCGCGAGCGCCGCCGCTGCGTTACGCGGCAATACGCGCGCGGCGGCTCGCTCGCGCGGCATCTGCGCCTCACCGAGCGCGCATGCGCGCTCGGTGAACGCATCCAGCTGCGCGCTCCAGATGAAGCGACGGTAACAGGCCGGCACACCCGCACGACTAATGCGCCGCGACCTGTTTAGCCGCAGCCAGCGCGCGAACTTCGTCAAGTTGTCGTAGTTTCGCGCAAACTGGTCGCGAGCCAGCCGCTTCGCTACGACTTCAGTTGTGTCATGCTTGTCTGCGCACCAAAAACGGCGGACCTGGGCATTTACCATTCATGCCCCTTATAATTTTTCTGATAAAAGCAGGAAACCCGTGTGCATTAATTAAAGCGCGCTGCCAACGGATAGCTGTTTGCGTTGATTCCGAGCTATGCTAAGCCTGGGTGATCTTATAGGCTTCAGTGACATTTCGGACCGGAATGAGCAGCTTCCACTGCCCGACCGCAAGGTGGTCAGTTTGGTCGATCTTGCTGATTCGCGGTTGACTTATACAGCGTACCAAGTCGCGCAGCTCGTGCGACAGACCGCCAACGAGCTCGCTGTGCTTCTCGCGACGCCACCGCTGGTGGCATTGGGTAAACGCCGTTTCGATGTAGCGATAGCGCTACCTGTGCACTCCTCTGCCGTGCTTATCACATTCTTGGCGGTGAGCGCGCTCGGACACGTGTCCGTGATTCTTCGTGACGACATGCCGAGGAAGGAGTATTTGCGTGTGCACAACCGTATCCCTTACGACTTGATGATCCACAATAGGCTCGATTCTGACGCGGCCGCGTCTTGCCGCGATAAAGGAGTGGTGTTGGCACAGTTTGCCTGGTTTTTCCGCGCGGACCTAGAGGGCCGCGAGCAAAGTGCGTACACGTCTTTTGCGCAGGACTTGCAAGAACAGACTGTGCGTAAGCCGATGTTGTCGCCTGGTTTTGACGTCGAAGCGCTGAACGTCTTCTCGCTGCTTTCGCTCGAGCCTAAGTCCAGGCCTTCGTTGTACGCCGAGGATCTGCTGCTGATTCCGCGGGAGTTCGACACCTGCTTGAAAATTCCGAGTTACCGCACTCACGTGATTGCGCTGAACCACCGCAACCTCGTAGTGTCGACACGCAATATGCAGAATTTGTTCATGCTTGCGGGGAGTGACCAGCACCCGGAGAGCGAGATTGACATATGCGTTAACGTGATGCCGCTGAATACGATGCGCGGGCTACTCGCAATGGCAATCACGCCGCTATGCTCGCGCAGCAAAGTCATCTTCGTGCCACAGGGCTTCGACGTTGGCTCGTTTTGGGACACTATGAACGAACTGAAGTGCACGTGGACCTGTTTGACGCCGCGCATGATTCAAGAATTGTTGGACGACTACGAGGGAGAAGGGCTAATTCAGAACACACTGAAGTTCATTAGGACGACTAATGCGCTGCTTTCTGCGGAGCTTACGGCGGAGGCCGAGCGCTTGTTCGACGTGGCGATTGTACAGGCGTACTCGTGCACGGCGTGTTCGCACCACATTGCAAGCAACGGCTACCCAACATTACAGAATCGCGTCGCGGGCAGCGCTGGCATGCCGCTGGGCGTCGAAGTGGCGATCGTGGACAGCAACAACTCTATCGTCGCGCGGAACGAGATCGGCAGCATTCTGGTGCGGGGTTACAACGTGATGGAGCCGGACATTTCGCTGCCAGCTGCGGTGCTCGATGAGTCATTCATCGCCCACCAGCAAATCTCTTGGCACAGCGACGAGAGCGGTCGAAAGCCTGCGTTCTGCTCGTCGGTGCTGAATACAAATCTGCGCAGCGCAATCAAGCTCGGCAGCTCAACGTTCCCTTCAGCATTGTGCGCGAATCTTGATACGGGCAAAACGTTTTTGAGCTACGCGACGACGCCCTTTGAAAACACGTTCACTCCTAAGTCGGAGAGCGAGGTAGAAGATCCCGAGTTTATCGACCACGGCGCGGAAAAGATCTCCGCGGTGTTCATGCCCGAAGGCACGGTCGACTACAGCGAAACGGCGGCGCCTGAGGAAGCCGCAAAGACGGACGGCGTGCAGAACACGCTGACAGAAGTGGGCAAGCTGTTGCACTTGCCGGCGTCGAGCGACGCGCAGGGTTGCGCCACGCCGCTCGCGAGCACGGTGGAGGAGGAAGCTGAGATCGCGGGCAGGTTCGACTGCCGAACAGACCCGATCCTGACGCCGCTGCCGCCGTGCATGTACTGGTACAAAACAAAAGATCGCGGCTACATGGACGAGAACGGCTACTTGTTCATAGTGAGCTCGGACGAAGACCTTACCGAAATTCTCGGTTACAAAGTGAGCTCGCACGAGGTTGAATACAATATTCTGCAGAACTCCGCGGTAAAGGAGTGCTGCGTTGTTGGTGTGCAGCACCGACCAGGCATCTACAAGCTGCTTGCGGTGCTGGTGCTCCAGAACGAAGACACGGATAAAGAAAAGCTAGAGAATGAAATCAAAGAGGAATTGTACAAAGAATTGACGAATTACAAAGTGCCGACTCTGTTTGCGTACGAAGAAAGCTTGCCGCGGCTAGACGATTCGGCAGTAGACCGAAAGGGAATCTTCGACAAATACAAGCATAAATACGTTTATCACAGTTTAGATATTTTGTCGAGGCTGAAGAAATTTGTCTCATCCTACTTGACCAACTAGGCACCGAAAACGAGTTTTTGAGCCCGCCTGCTTTAGCGAATTCGCATACCATGCAGTCTGTGTTTGATTATGGGTTGTTGGCGCAGCTGGTGCGGGAACATCGCTGGCTGAACGAGCGGCAGCTAAAACGGTTTTTTGTTGCGCTGTGCGCGCAGCCGTACGCAGAGCCGGAGCGCGTGTCAATGGAGAAGCTGGTTGCGTTGGACAACTCGGTATCGCGTCAATTTTACAAGTACTTGATCGAGCAAGGTTTCTACTTCTTCACGATCAGCGTGAACAAACGTGTGACTGCAGCGGCCGCGGACGTGGAGAAATTCACGTTCGAGCTGCACCGAATGAGGCTTACCGCGGAGACGTGCCTGATCCGACATCTGAACACGAGCACGCAGCGAAGCGGCGAGCGAGGGCGCACGACGGTGTGCGTGAGCTCGCAGGTGGGCTGCGCTATGAGCTGTGCGTTCTGCGCGACGGGCACAATGGGGTTGAAAGGCAACTTGAGTGCCGGCGAGATCGTGCAGCAGTTTGTGATTGCAAACCAACTGGAACGGGCCGCGGGCGGAGTCGGCGTGCGCAACGTGGTGTACATGGGCATGGGCGAGCCGCTCGAGAATTATGAGGCAGTTGTGCAGAGCGTGCGAGGAATTTTGTGCTTGGGCGTGCCGGCGTATAAGGTGATCGTGAGCACGGTGGGACGACGCTTCGATTTGATAGCGCAGCTGGAACGCGACTTGCCGCTGGTTTCCCTCGCGCTAAGCCTGCATGCGCCCAACGGGACTTTGCGCAAGTTGCTGGTGCCGAGCAGCCGCGAAGAGAATTTTGCGCCGATGCTCGCGGCGTGCGAGCAGTTCGTGCAGAAACAGCGCAGTCGGTCGCGCAAACTGGCGAAGCGCCAGTTCTTACTAGTTGAATACTGCGTGATCGAAAACTTGAATGACAGCGCGAGCTGTGCGGCGGAATTGGGCGCGTTACTTGCGCCTTACAGGGAGAGCGTGATTGTGAACCTGATTCCGTATAATCCGACAGATAATTTTTATGATTTTCGCCCGCCCCCGGCCGCGAGAGTGCGCGAGTTTCAGCGGATTCTGATTGACGAGCACACGATCCGCTGCTATGTGCGCGCACTGCACGGAGACGACGTAGCCGCTGCATGTGGACAGCTTGTGGTGCGCGAAGGGCAGCAGAAGAGCGCCGATTGCGCGACGCCGCGGCTGACACGCGCGAGGCAACGACGGCTGCCGCCGCTGGGCGACGAACGTTGGCCGCGGCGTTTCTGCGAACTGGCGCGCGCGGCAGGACTTTTTGCTTAGTGAGTGCGATTTTGCGACGCTATAACGCGCCATTTTCATTGGCCCGAACTCATGTTGGAAGAGCGCGAACGCAAGTCGCTGGTGCCGACTGCGTTGGAGAAGACGCGCGCGGCGCACGTGATTACGACGGACCCGTTCGCAGTCGCGCGGACCCACGAGCCGCAGACCGCAGAGAGCGCTAAGCCAGCGTCGATTCACTGCTCTGGGTGCGGTGCGGCGCAGAGCGCGGGCGTGCGACTGAACTGTTCGCACCAACTTTGCGTGAGTTGCCTAGAGGTATCGAAGCATCGCAGCACGAAGGCGGCGCGGCAGAGTGGC